CGAATTCTATTAGAACGTTTTGCATCCTATCGTGATGCAATAAAAAAGTACTTTCTAACACCTATTGCTATTTTTTTCATACTGCTAGGGTGTTCGCAACTTATTTTTGTCTTTTACATGGTATGGTGTCTTCTTCATGAGTTGTAAAATAGGTATAAAGTAGTATAGCTTATGAAAAAAAAAGAACATAGCCATTTTTTAAGGAAAGTTTAGTAAAAGTAGCTTTTTGAATTCTATAAGCAGGTTTACTTTCCTTTTTGAATCCTGCTCTTACTCTTAAAAGACTAACTATTTTGCTGCACCTCAACTCGCGAAACCTTTGCACCAATTTGCACCGCGCGACTGGGGGAGTTTCTTTATAAATAAGAGCTCCGCTGCCCCATAAGATCTTTTTGCTTGTTTTTTTCTTCGATTGTACTCTAAAAAGGGAAAGGAATTGTACTGGAGGAGCATTTGAGCCCAAAGCGGGGAGCTTCACTTCCTCTACTGCAATTATTCTACTCCCTCCCGTTCAATGCGGGGTCTCTTATCTCAGACCTCGCAATAACGGGTGAATGTTACCTTGTAAATTTATAAATATAAAAATACTTTTATAGTGTTGTACAAAGAGCAGATAAGAATTTTTTTTAGTAAAAAGCCAATAACTTTGTATTTTAAGCCTATTCAGTTTATTGCTATGAGAAGCTAAAATGCTCAATGTTCTAGAAAAACAAATAGAACGTGGAGGCAGGCGCCTCAATGGGCAAGAAGATAGCTAAAAAAAAGAAGCAATTTTGTGAATATGGAAAAAGACGACAAAGCTTTAAATGCAGAGCTTCGTTTCATGGGTGGATTCAACATATTTTTTTTCTTGTTCTCTCTTTTTATACTATATAAAAAGATATTTAAGGTAAAAAAATTCTTTGCTAAAAACAGATTTAACCCAGCTAAAAGCTTTATATATATAAAGCCCTGTTTCTAAAATGCGGGCATAAATGGTTACTTCTTAAAGATTTTCTTATTCCTATCATTCAGTCCAAGTTGTACTTCATAAAAATAAAAAGACTCCTTTAAAGGTTTAAAAAGATTGTGAAAACTTTATGCAGTTCGATGGAATGAGAAAAGTCTTAAGAGAAGAGATGGGTTCGACTCCCACTGCCTGCTTATTAAAAGCTATTTTCAACGGTTCAAAATTATCAAATGGGAAAAAGAAAAAGAAAACACTTCAGCCGAGGGCTCACATCTCTTTTTTTAGTCTTTTTGCTTTTATTTAAAATCAATTCTTTTTTTTTTTGCCATACAAGTTAGCCCCACACTTTCAAAAAGTGCGGTTTTTTAATCCCTTAAAAAAAATGAAATGAATATCACTAAGATTGCTAGTCTCCCCCGCCAAAAAAAGAATTCAAAGAAAAAAAAGTATGCTAGACCAGAAAACGCTGATTTTATTCTTTTAACAGACTAAAGCAAGGAGTTCCATTTTAAGAAGATATGAAATGATCTTTTTTTCAAAACTTTGTTTTTTACAGAAGCTGCTTTACGTTTATACGTTTTATTAAAAAAATAATTGTCTCTTTGAGCAATAATAAAACACAACCACTTTTTTTTGAACGTTCTTTTTGCGATCAAATACAAATGAAATACTAATAAAATCACTAATAAAATGAATGGAGCTAACTCCCTTTCCTTCGCCCCCCCAGGAGTGAAATAAAATAGGGAGGATTGGCTCTATTCAGTTTTGAATTTTTATTTGATTATCGCTTGTTTTCAATGTTTTTAAAAAAGTTCACTGGGTAGTCTTCAAAAAGAGATGAAAAATTATAAATTATTTTTGCTATTTTGGCATTTTTCAAACCATTTTTATCTTATGAATTATGAATATAGCCGATTTAAAATCTAGCGATCTTCATTATTGCCCTATTGTACGCTTACACCTTTGCAGCGATCATGACTCTTTATTTACTTCATTAATAAATGCTGGATTAAAGAGTAAGTTGACAAACCATTTTGCAAAATGCGAGGCTTCCGATTTCAAATATACAAGTTTAAACAACAACAACAATATACTTTTCAAAAAAACTAAACAAAGGGTAAAACAAACAAAAGCTACTACGAAATCTGATAAAAGCGCTCCCGTACAAGTCAATACAGTTTATAAGTTGAAAGAAGGTGTACGAAGCTTTCAGGAACTCCTTCAATTAGACGAGAGCTTTCTACCAAATATTCTCAAAGGGTTTGAGCTTGGGCTATGGAAAGTGTTTCGAATACATCTTTGTATTGACCTAAAAGAAAACATAATGCCTTATGTTTCCCAAAGCATAAAGACTGGCCAATATAGCAGCTTTGGGCGTCATCCCTATGGTTATGGATGGTTAGATGGTGAACGTGTTAGACTTTGTGTGGGGCGCAACAGCCGTATTTTTAAAGAATTTAAGGGGCAGGCGTTGACGCTAGATATTATATGTTTTGGAGATGAGGAAAAGAGCAGCGAGATCGCTGTATTTTATAACAAAGAAAAAGAGTACAAGGTAAATCCGAATCCGATGTGTCTTGCGAAAAACAAAAAAAGCAGAGTAGAGGTTCGCATATATCCTCGCTGCACAAAAACGAATAAGATAGCGATCTCTATCTTGACAAGTTTTTTAAAAAACACAGATGGCTCAGAAAGGCGGGTATCTTCTTTTGTAGAAGTGCTTTGCCGATGCGTTCAATTCACGACAAAGAATTGCCCATGGAAATTTATAAAAAGTGAAAATATAGCTCCTTGGTGGCGAACTTTGTTACAAAGATTTATGGATCGTAGAGAAAGGTTAGAATTTTGTAACAAAACACATCGCTTTCAGTTTCAGCCTCAATCACAATGTTTGCCAGACTTTTTTTCTGATGCAAGCGATGTTAAAAATCGCGGGGGTCGCCCAAAAGGGTCGAAAGATAAAAGACCCCGGAAGCCCGCTTCCGGGTTGAAAAAATGTCAAAATAGTTTTGTTCTATCAAAAAAACAAGAAAAAGCCTCTTAAATGTCACTGAAGCTTTTGTATTAAAAATGCGCAGCTACACCATAAAAACCTGCACCATCGTGCACAATTTGAATGCTATTTGGGTCATTATTTCTTATAAAATATCACTTCTTTGCCCTAAAACGAACTGTAAAAAAAGAAAAAAAATTTTCTTTCATCTTAATGAAAAGGAAAATAGCTAAACTTTGTAGTCGAACGACCTGCTTTTTGATTTTCTTTCTCTAACATTTCTCCGTAACACCGCATATTTATTAAAGAGCTGGCAACAGTATTTGTTTCGCCCACCCTTTTAGGGAGAATATGAATGGCTTTTGTTTGATTTATTACTATCCTCTTATATATAAAAAAACCATTTTATGAACACAAACAGCAATTCTCAAAAAAATAGAACTCAATCGTACAAAACCGAAGATAGCTTTAAAAGAAAGCAGTCTCGTTTTTATTGTTTTCAGGCTCAAAATCAGCAAAAGGGAATTCAAATGGGTCGCTTTTTTTTTTTTTTCCATCATTTTCACCTACTTTTTCTCCTTCTGTTTTCTTCTACTCGTTTTTTACGTTCTTTTTATTGATTTTTACGTTCTTTGTATTTCTTTATCGAAAGATGTGTGAAGTTCAGCGAACAATGGAAAAAATGATTGTGTCTTGGGGCACAGAAAGATATAGCGGACAGATCCAGAGCTTCCACCCTCACGAGAATGTCTTATCTTCTTCTTTCTCTTTCTTCCTTTATAAGAACATTGAACATTTTTATCATCCCAAAGAAGACGGAGGAAGCTATGAAAAAAGTACGTTTGCAAATAATGAAAAGGTAAAACGAGAACAGGAAGTTATTGGTACAAATAGTAGCCTAACTGTAAAAAAATCATTGCAAGATCCTTCTTCACTTCCTTCACTTATAGATAATGATCAACAAAATGATGAAAGTCTAGATTCAAAGCTACAGAATGAATTAGAAAGCGTAAACGACATACTAGAAGAGAGCGCCGGAACATACAAAAACGAACTCGCTTTCAAAAAAGAGCTTTCTAGCTACAAATTAAGCTTAGAAGATTACAATAAGGTAATAGCGATAGTTAAGGGCAAGGATAAAAAAAGCTGCCGCATTCGTCTTGCTTTATGTTTGCTCTATATTACTGGCTTACGCATCTCAAGCCTTCTAGTTCTGAGGGGATCCGATATTGAAAGTTTATTAGAGCATTGTAAAGGAAAGATCTTGCAAAGCAAGAATAGCCCTGCTTTTCACTATGTACACATAGCAGATCTAGGTTTGAGTCTACTAAAGAGCCGCCAATTTGATTTCAAATCCTTAATGGAAGGAAAAGATCCAAATGATTATTTATTTACTGCATATGATAAGAAGCAAGACGTTAGAAAAGCGGACAAAGCATTAAGCCGTGTACAATTGAATACTGACGTCAATTCTATCCTTAGAAAGGCTTCACAAACGATTTTCAATACACGTGTTCGGAGCCATAATTTTCGATATAGTTATATTCAAGATATGTTGGATAACATGGTGCCCATTGAAAGCGTTCAAAAAATAATAGGTCATAAAGATATTCAAACAACTGCTCATTATCATGAATCAGTAATAAATGGCAACAATGCTAAGCAAATTATTAGAAATTTGGAACAAACCCGTAAATCATCGACAAAATCACACTTTCGGGAATACACCTCAGTGAGGGAAGAATTCAGTATCCCCAAAAAAAGACCAATTGTGTGAGCGAACAGAGAGGGAAATCACAAAGTTTTGAAGCGTTTTTCTACTTTTTTTTTGCTTTTTTTCCCACTTTCGATTCATTGTTAAAAAAAGCAAAAAAAAAGTAGAAATGATTTCTTTCTTTATTTAAAAGCTAAATATTTATTCTTTGTTATTCTTTCTTATTTTGAAGAATCACTCAATAAAAAAGATTTTCAATCACCAAAAACTTAGGAGCTTCGAATTTTTATGAATTTGTGTATTTCAGTCAGTTTTCTTTAATTGTTTTTTATAAAAAAATCAATCGCGGGATGGAGCAATTGGTTAGCTCGTCGGGTTTATAATCCCGAGTATGTAGGTTCAAATCCTACTCCTACACAATTGAAGTACATAAGAGCATACACAAGCTGCTAAAGGTTCAGAGTTATTGAATTCTATCAAAACAGTCAATTTCGAGAAGTTACGCCTTTTTGAATCAATATAGCTTGAAGAAGCAGGAGAGCTATCCATTTCAATAAAACATAAAAATGAAAAGAAATAAAGTCTTTTTTTTGAATAAAATTGAGAAATGATTGAAAAAGCATGAACAATTCGCAGAGAGGGTGACATTCCACCTCCTAGATGTGAATGACCAATAATCCTCCGGCCACAATCACTCTTAAAAAAATTGTAGCCCAGCAAAAATCGATAGCTCACCAAAGCAAATGGGTAAGCTCTTCTTTCATTGTTTTTTGCCCTGTTGAATACTTACTTGAAATCTCTAAGGGTTCGGTTCCAGCCTATGTCACAATTTGTAAACCGCTGGCTTTTTTCTACCAACCATAAAGACATTGGCACCCTTTATCTGATCTTTGGCGCATTTGCAGGCCTTATGGGAACTTGTTTCTCTATGCTTATTCGTATGGAGCTTGCGCAGCCTGGAAACCAGATTCTTGGAGGCAATCATCAGCTGTACAACGGTGCGCCATCTAACATATGGCTTTCGGCAAACATCGCTTGCGATGTGCCTTCGTTCCTAACGGGCGTTAAAGCATGTGGGACATGCGCCGAGGGAAACCTCGGGGTGTGGAGCTCCCGCAAAAGGTTGGCTCGGGGTCGCTGTCTTCAAACCCTAGGATGCCAACCGAGCTACACAATACTAGATACGAATAGGATAACAAACCCGATACACTCCATGGGGGAGAGAGTAACCTGCTCATCTATGACAGAGAATGGTGAGTATCTTGTGGCGGCAGCCGATGCGTTGTGCGGCTTCCGGAAGGAACACACAAGACCAGCCCTGAATATCAGGGATCAAGGACTGCGGGGTTCTAAGTCTAGTACCACTCCCGGAACCATATGGAATTTGGGATGGCCCTACCCCCGAAAGAGGGAGGGGCACGGAGCTCTCGTAGTAGGAGCGGTTCGATTGTACAGAACCGCTGCGAAGGGGGGCAGCTCGGATGAGGGCGAAGCTAGCTTAGACTATTTAGCCCTATCCAAACTTGTAAGAGAGAACAAAGATGTGTCTTTCAAAAACTTTACGCCTTTCTATTCCAATCTTAACACACTAATATTTGCTTATGAGCAGATAAAGAGCAATCCCGGCAATATGACCAGAGGTGTCGAGAAAGAAACCCTTGATGGAATCGACCTTAATTGGTTCACCAAGATTCGCGCCGATCTCATCTCTGGGAAATACCGCTTTCGAAATATCAGACGTATCTTTATTCCAAAGCCTGGCAAAAAAGACCTTCGCCCTTTAGGAACAAAATCACTCCCTTTAGGGAGTGGAATGAAATCACTCCCTAAAGGGAGTGGAATGAAATCACTCCCTAAAGGGAGTGGAATTGGCCCTCCTAGAGACAAGGTTGTTCAAAAGGCACTCCAACTCTGCCTGACGGCCGTCTTTGAGCCTTTGTTTTCGAAAAACTCGCACGGATTTCGGCCTAAAAAGGGTTGTCATTCAGCCCTTAACCAAGTGAGAATGCAGTTTGCGCATTGCAACTGGGTTATAGAGACTGATGTTCGAAAATGCTTTGACACAATAGATCACAAGATTTTGCTCCAAATTATAGAGCGCCGAATTCCCTGCCAGACCACCCTACGTCTGATCGAATCTGCTATGGCAGCGGGCTACGTAGAAGTCATTGGGGAGGCTTGCATTGCTAACACAATGGGTACTCCTCAAGGGAGCGTTCTAAGCCCTCTGCTGTGCAATATCCTTCTCAATGAATTAGACTTAGAAGTTGAAAGGATTATCGAGGAGTTTAATCGTGGAGAGAAGTGCAAAGTTAGCCGTCAGTGGAAAAAGCTCTATAGGATCTTCAAAAAGGAAGAGCCGGGCTCGGCAAGCTGGAGACTGGGGAGAACAAACTTGCGTTCTATACCTTCTAAAGATCCGATGGATGACAGCTTTAAGCGTCTTTATTACGTTCGCTACGCAGATGACTTCATTTTAGGAGTAAGAGGTCATCGTTCTGAAGCGGTTGCGATCAAAGATGCTATTAGTTCTTGGCTACAGACAAACCTACAAATGTCTCTTCATCCGGAAAAAACGTTTATAAGACATTTTGCTACCGAAGGAACGTTGTTCCTTGGGATAAGAGTAGGCCCTTTAGACACTAGCGAACGCCCAGTTGCTCTCTATTCAGATGGTCACAAAAAGAGAATAGTGCCAAGATTGCCTATGACAGTAGACCTGGTCAATCTGTTCCGCAGATTGAAAAATCGAGGTTTTGTGAAGTTTAGCCGACCTCACAATCGATACGTAGGGGTTCGATACAGTCGAATGCAAAACCTTGATATCCCTGATATCATCCGCTACTTCAACTCGGTGTTTAGAGGAATCTGGAACTACTACTCATTTACAGATAACTCTTCCGGTTTAAACCACGTCTGGTGGGCTCTCGAGCAGTCATTAGCGTTTACGCTCTCTGGAAAGCTACGACTTACAGGCATTCACAAGATCTTCAAAATCTATGGGCACCCTATTAAAGATAAGGTCTCAGGCCTTTTCTTTTGGAGGCCTACTACTTTTGGAAGAGACCCGAATAGGCTACTCCGGCTGTCCAAGGAAAGTCAAATGTCTTTTGCAGCAATGCTCCAGTCAATTGAAACATCATGGGCGAGTCAATTGACTCGGACAAACTTTGGGAAAACCTGTGTGATCTGTCAGACTGCGAATCAAGTAGAGATGCATCACGTGCGTCGGATTAAAGATCTTAGAAGTGGAAGAAAACTGGATTTTTTTACAGCTCAGATGGCTGGGATCAATAGAAAGTAGGTTCCTCTCTGCAAAGCTCACCACATAGACCTCCATCGTGGGAATCTTTCAGAGAGAGACCGAGAACTTTTTGCAATTGGTTGGAAAGAGTTTGGGAAAGAAAATAAGAAAGGCTCCATTTTTGCTCTCTTACCCGTTTGGCTCTCCACTCCCGAGAGAGAATGGATTGCGAGGGCTTTACGAGCCCTCGTTTGCGCAAGACAGATTTGCGCACATCCAAGTGGCGAGCCGTATGATGGGAAACTATCACGTACGGTTCTGAGGGTAGGGTGGAGAACGGGCACAAGTGTCTAGTCTCTATCCTAACCCCTACTCATTATTACAGCTCATGCATTTTTGATGATATTTTTGTGCGCCCATGTGCCAACAGTCTGCTTGTCCCCTAGCCAGGGACTGCCGCTAGCGCATCGCGGCATAAAGCAACCGGCTTATCCGAGGGGGAAAGCCCCAACGAGACCATAGCATGCCGGGGAACAGCCTTGAGGGAAAACCACTTTGCCCGAAAAGGGGCTGCTTGCTAAATCGACTATGGACAAGTCTACACTGGCTGAAACCCATTTCCTGCTCGGCACACATCACCGATGAGCTTGGTGGCCATGGGCTCATGCTTCCAGCTGGGAAGGATCGAAGAATTTCAACCCAGAGCGTCTCTGGAGCAGCTACCCCTGCTATAGGCAGGATAGATAGGAATGAACGGGCTCCTAAGGTCGATTGGCGACGGACTGGGGGAACTTGGGGATCTCCTAAGGGAAGGAATTCCTATGGAGACGGACGGGCTATAGTACCGACCCTGGCATTGTCAGGATACACCTTGTTAACTATGAGGAAACGGAAAGAGCTACGACACTACTCGTCAATAACGGAGCATAGGCCTGCAAGCGCGGGTCTAAGAAAGTTAGAAAACTTACGAAATAGAACTTTAAGGCATCAACCAGTCACAGATATTTACTCTCTACTTCTTGAAGAGGATCTGCATATTGTGGCATATGAGAAGCTCAAGAGCATGCCAGGCAATATGACAGTAGGAACAGATCAAACCACTCTAGACGGTTACTCTAAGCACATCTTACAGCACACAATAAAAAGCTTAAAGGATCACACGTTCCGCTTTCAACCATCTCGAAGAATCTATATCCCAAAACCAAATGGAAAGACCCGCCCCCTCGGGATTCCGTCTCCACGAGACAAGCGAATCCAACAAGTGATAGGAATGATACTGGAAGCTATCTATGAACCAAGTCACCCCCCTAAAAGAGTGACTTCTCACCTTACGAATGACCCCGCCCAAACGGAGAGCGACTTCTTAGAGGTCTCGCACGGCTTTCGGAGAGGAAGAGGAACGCATACTGCGCTCAAAACCATAGCATCGTGGTCAGGAGTCTCATGGTTCTTAGAAGGAGACATAGAAAGATTTTTCGATACAATGGATCACAAGATCCTAGAATCCTTGTTAAAGCGACGGATAAAGGATCAAGCCTTCTTAGATCTATATTGGAAAGCGGTCAGAGCAGGATATGTCGAGATGGGCAAGCCTCAGGAGGGGATGCTTGGAGTGCCTCAGGGAGGGGTTATCTCTCCCATATTGTCAAATATTTACTTGCATGAGCTTGATCTTTGGATGGCAACAAAAGTTCGCAAAAGCCTAGAGAGCGGGAAAACTTCGGTGCCTAACAAGGCGTACCTTGTCAAACATAGTAAGATTCATACCCTTTACAGAAGACAAGAAAAGGGTAAGCTAGAGCCCGCCCAAATCGTTCAACTGCAAGAAGCCTTAAAGCAGCGGGCTCAAATCCGTTCAACGTTGCCTGGTCAAGGGTATAGAATCTATTATGTAAGATATGCAGACGACTTTTTGATAGGGATCAACGGAACGCAAGAGATTGCGCATAAGATGAAAGAGGAAATCAAAGATTTTCTAAGGGATCAGTTGAGGTTAACCCTTCACTGGGACAAAACAAAGATTACCCATGCGAAGGACGGTCGTGCTCACTTTTTAGGAGCTGATATCTATCGACCAAGTTCGCGCACTGGGGATAGCAAAGGAATCCGGAAAACGATTGGGACTCGCCGATTCAAATCCCGTATTCCAGCCACACGATTGGCGCTTCTCGCTC